CCATGGTTCTCAACTCTCCTTCATATCTCTCGGGAGGATTTCCTTCAACTCCCTCTTCTTCCTTACCTCATTACCCAGAGGGAAGGCACGATCCGACACCCAGACCTGTTGTCACTGAAACTAACTGCCTGGCAAATCCGGTAACTGTACGTGCTGCACCAGTGTCGAGGCCACCTGCAATCCCTACTACCTCTGCCTCAGAAACCTTACATCCAGATCTGCAATATATTCTCGACTCTGCATTAAGGCCATCCACTAGAAAGTCATATGCAGCGAAATGGCGTAGATTCTCTAGCTTTGCCGAATCTCACTCATTTCCAGTGTCATCGGCGTCGGTACAGCAGATTCTTCAATTCCTTTTCAAATTGCACCGGTCTGGACTTAAACCTTCCTCCATAAAAGTATATACAGCAGCAATTTCTTATTACCGTGGAGCTGTACAAGGTTTCTCTATTTTTTCTCAACCTTTGATTAAAAGATTTTTGAGAGGACTTGGTAACCTCCATCCAACAATCAGGCTGCTGATGCCCACTTGGAGTCTTTCAGTAGTTTTACAGGCACTGACACGACCCCCTTTCGAGCCCATGGCGACAATTGATCTACACCTTGTCTCCTGGAAGACTGCTTTCCTCGTAGCAGTTACTTCAGCCCGTAGATCGTCTGAACTTTGTGCCCTTAGGGTAGACCCCCCTTTTCTGAATTTTCATAAGGAAAAGGTAGTTCTACGGCTAGACCCGTCCTTTCTTCCTAAGATCGCTACTTCGTTCCACATGCATCAAGAGATCGTTTTACCGGCATTCTTTCCGGCTCCTTCGAATCCGATAGAGAGGTCCCTGCATATGCTGGATGTTCGTCGTTGCCTAGCTTTTTATAGGTCCAGGACTGAGTCTGTTCGGCACTTTAACAGACTTTTTGTTAAATACTCAGAGCACAACCGGGGCTATCCGGTCACTTCCCAACGACTTTCAAAATGGATAATAAATAGAATTGCTCTGTCTTACCAGTTGGCTAAATTGGACTTACCATCTACTCCAAGAGGTCACTCTACCAGGGTTGTTGCTGCTTCCTCAGCCTTTGCATCGGGAGTCCCGATGGAAGACGTCTGCAGAGCTGCCACTTGGGCTACCCTGTGTACCTTTGCCAGACACTATAGACTAGATGTTTGTGCCAGACGAGATTGCTCTTTTGGCAGGGCTGTTCTTTCTTCTATTCTTTGTTGATGACACCTCCCTCCTCCAGTTCGGGTAAGCTTGTTACTCTACCCATATGTGTGATGCACAGAGGCCACGACGAAGAAGAGCAGGTTGCTTACCTGTAACTGATGTTCTTCGAGTGGCCATCTGTGCAGTCACACAACCCACCCACCGACCCCGCTTGGTGTCATGGGTGGTCCGACTTTCTCCTCTTCGATGCTAGGATCTCTCTAGCTATTTGTCGAACCACTGAAGTTTTAGTTTTTTCCATACTGACAATAACTTTATTAAGGAAGCGAACGTCTGGTCTTTCAAAGACTGGAAAATGGCGGATACTCCGCTCCTTATATAATACTAGGGGGGAGGGGGAGCGGAGTTTCCCGCCAAAACCATTAGCTGTTAATCTTCCGGCCAAAGGCACTGCACAGGCACAGAACCCATATGTGTGACTGCACAGATGGCCACTCGAAGAACATCAGTTACAGGTAGGCAACCTGCTCTTGCACTTCCTGCTGAGGAGAGCAAAGTGCCAAAACGAGCTGAAGCCTTCCCCCTTTACAGGTAGTTCCCAGGTTATGGGCAAGTTCCATTCCTGAGAATATCCTTAAGTCAAATTTGTATGTAAGTTGGATCACATGAGTAAGCCAAATGTTTGTCTTAGAATATGTATCTATTTTACCTTTCTATGTATGTAAAACACTTAAGTAACACTACCGTATTCACTAAAACATCTTAAACACAATACAGCATTGCAATAATGATAATAATATAGTAATAATAAAGTAACTACAGGTACTGAAGAGAGAGAGAGAATGAGAATCTGTATGTGTTTAGGTATACAGTAATGTAAAAAACAAAAATAATTCTTAAACAGTTTGGGACATTTTTTCAAATCAGTGTCTTAGAGAGTTAAACTAGCTCACTATCATTCTTGCATAAATTATAACAAAATAGTGAATATGATGCATTATGAACACTTTACTTTTTAACTGTTCATTTTCTGAAATATTTTTGAGTTGCTCTGTTAACTTACAATAAACTGTAAGGATAAAAAATGCCACAGTTCCACACAAAACCAAACCTAAAACAAAACATAGAAAATAATCAGCACTTTCTTTCTTTTTATAGAATTGGGTATTATTTGCAGGCCTATTGGCCACTTTGGAGGAGACCAAGGCTGACAAATTCTACTCAGAGAGGTTCTAGTTCTATTTTTCTCTTCACTGTCAATTCAGCATCATTTTCCCACCGGCAGTATGGGCATGCTAATACTGACCTAGTTCCTCTTTAGCATTTCCCCTTCCAACCAGGCCCTCAGCTGCAAACAGCCCTTGAGGCCTACTTCAAGAAAGCAACTCTAGCCCTAACCCTCCTCCCACTCCAGCAGCACAATCAACCCTGGCTCTCCAGCACCAGGTCCATCTTCATCAAGCCTTAATGTTAGGCTTGATGTTACCTCGTGGAATAGGAAGTTATGAATAAAAACAGGATTTCAAGCTTTAAGACAACTGCAGAACAGGGAAGAGTCATCTGGGCACCTCTGCTTCTGTCCTTTCTAGAAACTCTTTTGCTGTGCTTCTGCTTCCTCCTTGAGGCTCCACACGTGCCCAAAACATGCTGGCTTGGGTATGCTGGAGCTGATACTGCAAAACGAAAAGCCGTGAACGAAAAGCCAAGTGACTCTCCAGATCTATAAAACCCTTGAAATCTCTAGGGAACTACATGTGCACTGATGACAAACTAGCCAAGTTGCCAAACATGTAATGCAGTTCCCACGAGCTTTTGATGGCTTTTAAGTAGAAATATTCATATAGGGTTTATGCCATCTGTGAGTTGTAAGTATGTAACCTGGGGACTACCTGGATCACAACCCTCCTCCCCCTGCCTCCACTCCATTGTTCTTCCCTTCCACTGCTTCCCTCATGCCAAAAAGCCACTTGGCCATAAAACAGTAAAACATTTGAGTCCAGTCACTTGTTCATCGCTCCCAAGTTGAGTCTGTGTTAAGTCACTTACGTGACTTCAGTTGGCCTTGGGAGTGCGTTGCTCAAGTCAAGATCCCAACATTTCAGGCTACTACTTCAAGTGAACAGCAGTAGTGAATGAGGTGGACATAAGAGTTATGATACAGGGAAGCAACACTACACACAAAAGTCTGGTGAATCCTGCTGTCAGAGGTGGAATTTAGATGTATCTTTTCCCCTTCAAATAGGATGCAAAAAGGGTACCAGGAAAATCCTTTCTAAAGTTCACCTTTGATCAAGTAATACTTTATCATTTAGCACCTTATTTAGTAAAGATGTGTTCACATGGTACAAAATTACACAATCTAAACAGTATGTGTCTGTGTGTGTGCTTGCCATTTAAATAAGAATATAATTAGAGAATATAAGAATATAATTTTGGATCAAACCAAAAGCCTGTTTCCTACAGCAGCCAATCATGTACTTTTGGGAAGCTCGTAAGTGGAACATGGGGGCTGTAACCTGTCTTGCTGTCCCAAACCTAGTGGGCTTCTGCTTAAATAGAAATAGATTTGACTTAATCGGACTAGTTCCTTGTGTGCAACTCCCACTAAACACACCAGGCCTCTGACCAAACTTCATACCAGGTCAGCGCACCTTGCTGACTCTCCTGTCTGCAGGACCACCCAAAGCCACTTTTCTGGCACAGGAAGAGCAGCTAAGACTGCCTTTACCTACCATCTGATTTATGGCTGGGAGAGAAAGAGGCCTACAATTCCCTCCTCTCTCCAGAAGTACCATTTTCCTGAAAATAAGACCTAACCGGAAAATAAGCCCTAGCATGATTTTTCAGGATGCTCGTAATATAAGCCCTACCCCCAAAATAAGCCCCAGTTAAAATTGTCATCCAGACAGACACTTGTGTCTGTTGCAACACAATTCAGGGTTTGGAGAGTTATGACGATGTTCCAGAAGATGACATGACTGTATTTGAATAAATGTAGCATTTTTGTACATGAATAAATGTAGATTGTTGTACGTGAAAAAATAAGACATCACCTGAAAATAAGCCCTAGGTCCTCTTTTGGAGCAAAAAATAATATAAGACCCGGTCTTATTTACAGGGAAATACGGTATCCTGGGTGTTACAGGACCTTTTTCCTGTCTGAATTTGCTTAAGACTGTACCTTAAGTCCAGACTGGTAGAACCGGAGATCGATCAAATTATCTGGGCACTTGAGACAGATAATGCTACAAGCGCCTCTTTCCTGCCTATATCCGGCAAGAGAAGAAAAAATAAAAATAATTCGCGGCGCGTATTTCTACTTTTCGAGACTCCCCAAGGAGGCTGCCTCAACCTGTAACTGGAAGTGGGCAGCAAGCGCCCTCCAGCAGAACCGGCCCCAGATGGCGCCCTCCTAGCCCGGCACCGGAGACGAGGCGAAGATAAACAAGCGAGGAAATAATAATGATGCAAACAAACAGCTGCCGGCCACAAGCAGCACCGCCCGGCACGACTTTGCGCCCGGCGCTGGGACACAGGGGTCCCGGGCTCTCGAGCGACGCCGGCCGCGCGTGCCGGCCGCGGCTGTGCGGGGAGAGCTTTCGGCTCGGCGTGCTTCTCCCATGCTGGCCCAGGAAACCGCGTGGGCCGCTGCCGCTAGTTTCCGCTCGCCGACGGGGTGGTGGAAGCGGCTGCCGCGGCGGTGGCGCTCGTTTCTGTGGCGCGTCCGCCCAGCCTGCACGTGACCCGGCGCCGGCGGGCCTTTCGCTCGCCTGGCTGCGCTGCCTTGCATGAGCCCCGCGTCGCTCACCGGCTATGCCTCCCCGCCGGGCAGAGCAGCAGGAGGAGGGCGAGAGAGAGGCGGCGGCAGCCGTCGCCAGACCTGCCGCCCGGGCACCGTGGCCCTGAGGGACCTGGGCAAGGGAAGCACGCTGGTGACCAGGTATGGGGGAGCAGCGACGGCCCCTCTCCAAAACGCCTATCTGAGCCTGCCCTTTCAGTTAATTATATCGCGGCACTGCCCTAACATCCGAGGGGGTTCGCAGAGCAAAAGCTAACACATTTACCGAAGAACTAAAGTCCCCTTGAATTCACTGGGATTTCTTCAGTAGGAAGACACAGGGTCGTACTGTGTTTTTAAACAGGGGTTGTCGGGGGCGGGGGAAAATTGTGTTTGGGATTAAAGGATCTGTCCAGATAGTCTCACACAACACGCCTTTCAAAACTTACGGGCAGCTGCGCTGGTTGGTTAGTGGGGGGAAGTCCCAAGATGGAGTAGCATGCATTTTTAGTTGTTCTTCAAAAGGATTCCACTAAGGTGCACCATAGATGCTTTAAGGTGAGATTTTTCATTGTGCAACCCTGGCTTCATTCATGGAATTTTTACTGGGGTTCCAGGTACTCCATCCCTTTTCTTTCCACAAAGTGTACTTCAGACAGAGTAAGTTCCTAGCACTACCAATCAAAAGGACTTGTGCAATTATTCAGTCTTTTTTTTTTTGCCCCCCCCCCACCTGTAAGAAGAATGGAAGAATCAGTGGGAAAATATGGGAGGATTACAAATGGCAACCAAGTAACCTGACTCCCCCCTCTGCAAGATTCTGTGATTCTGAAGCTGAGACTCTATGTGGTGTTGTTAAGAGAGTCAGACTGGGACTCCAGTGATTTGGTTTCTAGTTCCTGCTCAGCATAGGGTCCACTGGGTGACTTTGGGCCAGTCACAGACTCCCAGCCCAACACAATTCTTAGGGTTCTTGTTGAGGGGATAAGACTGAGAACAGGAGGGGGCGAATGGTGTAAGCTGCTCTGAGTTCATTGCAAGAGAAAAGAGTAGGATAGAAATCTAATAAATAGACAATAAAGAGTGATGCACATTAAAAATGCCCCAAAATTCAGTTCAGGAAACTACAGGAAAACTGCACAATATAATTTGCTTGGTAGGACTAGGAACCCTCTGCAGTCAAGTTAGATGAACATGGGATAAATTGTAGTGTCCTGCAGCTACAGAGCAACAGAAATATGTGCTTACTGTGATTCTTTAGAATAGGGGTGCCCCCAGACAGTGGCTTCTGTCAGTGATTTTTTCAGGTAAGAAAAAGGAGAGAAGAAGCAGTGGGAAAACATGGTTGGTTGCAAATAAAAGACAATAGTGGCCACCCCCTGTAAATTTCAATTGCTGATGGAATCTTACTTCAGCACTGGCAAATGGATAGTTTCTTTACTGCATCTGAACTTCTCAGGATTCTTGCTGTGTTGGCAATGTCTTGCGCACTGCGCGTTGCTTGTTGCGTGAAGGACAGCTGTCTCAAGAGGGGACAAGAGCTTCTGTGCGTAAAGCAAGACAGCACACTAATCAGCTGTGGCCATTCTGCATATAACTACAGAAAAAAAACATGGAAACCAAGTTTCCTGAGTTCAGATGTCCAAAAAAGCCACGTTGAAGCATGGAAACCATAGAACAGAACATTGATTTTCAGTGTGACCCTGCGGAGACCATCCTTACCACACTGCTCCATGGTTGCTGGGTTCAGATAGAACAGCCCATGCCACTGTTTCCACCATGGCTTGTTGTTATGTCTGAACCCAGGCTATGTGTGTAGGGGAGTCAGTTGCCTTGGAAAAATACAGACTAATTCTGTTAGGAATGAGAAAGCAATTTGAACCAAACTCTGTATATGTGGATAGAACAAACTTAAGGTACTTGTTTCAGAGATCTTGAGAAACTGTCCAAATGTTGGTAAATTAATCAAAAGTTATAGACTTACCTGATCAGGCCGAGTGTGTAAGCCTGAGGGAGAAAAGTTGAGGCTGGTGAGGAGAAATGTGTGGCTGTCTTGTTTCCATGTAACAGTATGTGGCATATGCAGAGCACTTTAAGATGCCAATAAAATTATATGAAGTGCTCCAAATAAAGTAGTCATGTTATAAAGAGCAGTGTGTTGTGGGCCAGCAGGACTTGGTCAGGGATTTAACACTGGATTGTCACAAATGCAACCTGTGCATGGTGCAGGGAAACAGGAAATGATTTCCATGCGTCCACCAGAACAAGATATTGTAGTGACAAGTGCTGTAGATTTGGATTACAGGCTGCTGGTCAGCTGCCTCAGATACTTTCAGAATCCTGAAATTTTGGGACACAGGAGGGTTAAGGTCTTTGAGGCTGTATGGCATACAGGTTAGAGGATAAGAAATACACAAGAACCCACAGGCTTTCAAAGTAATGTTCATTTTATCTTGTAGTTGTGCAGTTGAATTATGAGTTCTGCTTAAAGTCCATCTATGCTTAACTCCAGCGCAGTCTGTGCTGTAACTCAGGATGTCAGGCAGAATTAAGTTCTTGTTTAGGGCTTCCCAGAAGGCGCTATTTGCCCTGACACTGGAGAGGAAAGTAGGTCTTTCAGTAATATTTTTTAATCATGAGATAGGTGGCAGCTTCTGTATTTGTTTGGCTAATGCACAACCACAGAGACCTTTGGTTTCAATCATTTCCTTCTCTGAAGGGATGTTTTATAGCTGTACTGTTTGCGTAATATTATACAGCCAAATATAGTGAAAACGTTCAAGGAAATGAGAGAGATGGTCATTTCTGTTGGTGAGTCCAGGTGCCAGCATGATGAAGGGCTGCTGTGATCATTCTTCCTACCGCTCTGCTAGGGATACGCCATGTGTTAGAGAACTGTAAGTATAAAACCCCCAATGACTGGTAAGAATTTCCTTTGCTCTACTCAGCTTTGGGAGTGACTAACTCTTTTTCCACCTTCATGATTTCTGTTGCTCTTTTGCTGCATCTGCATAACCTCATGCATCCAGACTTAGAAACCTGCAGAGAGAGAAGGCATTCTTTTAATAAGGAATTGCCATGGATGGGGAAGGGGATAAGTGTCCCTCTCCTCAAATATAATGCGTAGGCTGGACCTTAGTCTGTGACTCACATTGGCTGAACTGGGGCTGCTGCTGAAAGTTCTTTAAGATTAGCAGTTCTTAGCAGCTGAAACTTCTTGCTTACTTTGAGTTAATCTGTCTGATTTAATGTTAATGTTTACTAGGGGTAGTTGTTATTTTTGATTTTTTGGAACAAGCTCCTTTTAAAATGCCATGCAAGATGTGTAAACAAGCTGCTCTGATAAGGAAAAAGAAAGCTTTCTTTTGTCATTAAAAAGTGATAAAGGGCCTTAACTCTTTAATTTGAGAAGCTTGTTCTTTATACTTCTGAATGCAAGCATGACAGTTTTGTGTGTGTGTGTGTGCATGTGTGTGCGCACACACGTGCGTCTGCTTGCGTACATGCACTTGAAAAACTTAAACTGTTACATTTAAACACAAACCTATTGTTTTGGCAGAAGTGTGATGGCTCAGCTGGACTCGGACTCTAAGGAAGAAGTGTCCCTTAAGGAGGATTTAAAATTCTATTTTATGAATCCATGTGAAAAATTCAGAGCTAGAGGTCAAATACCCTGGAAACTGGGACTTCAGATTCTGAAGATTGTTATGGTTACTACCCAGGTAACTTTTTAATAATTCTAGTTGACAATTGTATATCAATGCTTTGTGTTCATGAACCAGGAAGCAAACAGACTTTTTGTGACTTCATATCGTTCCTTAAAGCTGTTCTCTTACATGTTAAAATTCCAGCAAAGAAACAGATAGTCAGCAGAAAAAAATTGTTGACCTGCTGTAAAGCTGTTTATGGCATTTGACTGTGTACCTTTAACTAGCTTTCACAAGAATTTCAGGAATAACTACTATGATGGTATTGCTAGGGGATGGAGCATTTTTTCCAGTGAGTGGTCTGAGGGGGGGAAAAGCTTTTGAAAGCACATACTGATTACCATTGTGGTGGCTTCACATGCTGTCTGGACCTGAGATGATGTTCTCAGTGAGGCTTAAGCTGGCTGATAAGCCACTCTGACAAGCTAAGGCTTTTTGTAAGGTTTGCTTAACTTTCCTTGGCTGGCCATGTGAGCCAAGCCCCACAAGAAGCGAGCTGCTTGACCGGAGCGCCACAACCCCTGTGCCTTTCTGGCCAAGCCGCTCCTCGTGAGTGCCTTCGAGAGCAGCCCAACCTGCTCATGTGGCACTTTGAGTGGCTGTCACGAGTGCCTTGTTCCCGTGTGATGCCTGCTCAAGCCACGTGTGGCCTGGTGTGAGCACTGCTGGGATTCCTGAAGTGCCACCAGCTGGGAGCTTAAAGAAGTGGTGCAGAGGCGGCCCTGTGTGCTGGCTGCCAGCTGACACAACAGCCCTCCACACGCTGCTGCTGCCGTAGCCACCAAGCAGCTGCCGCAATGGGCAAAGAGTCACATTTTCTTGGACGGCTCTGGGGAAGACCCTGAAGAATGTGCCTTGTTGCCCCCCACTCGCTGCAGGATCATACCAGCAGACAAAGGCTGGAAGTAATTTCTGCTGCCTCCTGCCCTTAGGGGACACAGAAGACATTGGCTTCCCTGCCTGCTGCATTGCATGTTCCCCAGGAGATGCCCAGAAGAGCACGTTGTTGCTCAACGCCATGATCAGAAGTCGATCCAGCAGTGGGTGGGTGGAGAAGGTGCATCATCTTGGGTTTCTCCCAGGGAGGTTCAGGAGAATGTGGCCCCTGCACGGCTGTTGGGATCACAGCGCAATCATGGTGGCACGATGGGTGGGCAGAGCCTTGCTCTGCTCTGCTCTGCTCTGCTCTGCTCTGCTCTGCTCTGCTCTGCCTGAGAGGAGGCCAAGCAGAACTGGGCTCGCTTGCACCGCTGCTGCTCCCGGAAAATAGGGGATGCTGAGCGACCCTGTTCTGCCAGGATCAGCAGTGGGAAGCCTCTGGCAGTTGCCCTCAAGTGCTGCTTGGCACTTTTGGACAACTGTATCCCCACTTCCCTCCCCTCCGTGCTCCTGCAGTGTCCCCATGATACCAGGAGGAGAGAGCAGTGAGGAGGCGCTGCAGGACCCCCACTGTTCTTCCCCATCTGTTAGTATGTTGTGGGCCCTGGGCAAACAAGCCGTGCGGCACAGCTTTTTATGCGGTGTGACTTGTTGTGTCATATAGATCTGGCCACTGTGTTAGTTAGCAGCCAGCGCCATTCATTCTTGCAAAGGCTAAAGCGCACCTCAGTTTCTCACCCGTCCACCTCCCCTCTGTGCCACCGTACCCCTCCCTTTTTTTCTTTCCACCTCACCTGAGAAGACCTTTGAAGGTACAGATCAGTGTACATTGAAGGTGTTGTTCACTCCCCTCCTCCACCATGGTTTAAATAAAAGAATGGAAAGATGCCAGTCGGGTTATAGTTCACTGATTTATCACTGTTGCTAAGGAGCAACAGTAGCAAAGGCAGTATTTATGTGTCCTAATATATTTCAAAACAGCTCAGTAACAGTAGTTTTCTGGTCTGCAGAAAGAATTAAAAGAAGGTCAGTTTAAAACAAGTGAAAACCTTTAGCAAAAAAAAAAAAAAAAAGCAGCAGAGGTAAAACAGTGCAAAGATCTAAAAGCAGTTCTCAACATCTCTGAAGAAATAAAAAGGCTTTCACCTGCCAAAGAACAAGTATCATGTGTAGACTGTGTTGGTTAACTGGATGGATCAACTGCTGATACCTTTAATTGCTCCAAATTGAGATCACTGTTCTCTCTCTGCTGAGTGGATCTTGAGTAGCACGGCTGGGGCAAACTCATGCTTGAAGAGCTGTTGCCATGAGTTCTTTCATGGAGTTTCAAGTAGAATGTAACTGACATTTGCGAAAAAAGGACTGCATGGTGTCCCTTACCCCCTCCCTTGGGAAATGCTCTGACTGGGTTCTGTCAAGGGCTGAGTATGGATTGTTGAACCATGGGTTGTTTAACATGGGCTATCGTGTTGTCTGAACTCAACTGTGCTAACAAGACATAGCTTGTTATCTACAAACAAACCAGGAGGAGAACTTGTGGCTTGTTGTTGGGTTGTGAACTGTGAATTCTTCACCATGGTTTGTTCTTTCAGCTGGGGTTCAACAACACAATAACCCACATTTCAACAACCCTCAGTTCAGTGACATTCCATACTCAACTTGAGTGCAGTTTTTTGTGTTGCCTCAACCCAGTCATCATTAGCTTCCCCAACAATTTAAAGCGTAATGTAACCTTGTCCAGTGCTTTCTCTCCTTCCCGCCTCCCACCTTTCTCTCCTTCCCACTTTTTTGATGATGCTTCTAGCTTATTATTCATAGACTGCAACCTCCTAGTCCAATATTTGTAGAAAAATCATGGCATAGATATTTGTATAGCTCTCTCCCTGCAATGTCAGGTTGCCTTTGAACTGGGCTGCTGCCCGGTACACACTGCTGGGACCATTCCAAGGCCAGACCCTCTATTGTCTGTTTTGGGAGAGTCTAGCAGCTTGTTATCCCCCTGGGCTTCCCATGCAGTTCTGTAATGCTTGCTTTCTTCTAAGAGGCGCTTGCATGCCAAGGCCCTGGGGAAGAATGAGCTGCTGGATGTTGCCAGCTGAGCTCTCCTTGAAAGTATGGATTCGTTGCTGCGCTGATGGATGGCAGCACCCCGGCACAGTGGCAACCCAGGCGAAAAGCTATGCTAACTTCTTAGGAAGTTGTACACATAGGAGCCCACAGAATTGGGTCCACAGATGATGCTTCTTGAAAGTTGCAAAAAGCTGTTCTTAAGAGGCACATGTCCTACATGATGCACCATCTTCATCTCTTCCCATTGTCTTTCTTGCTGCATTTTCCCTCACTTGGGCATCTTTTCTGCTGATGTTATAACCCTCAGGGTAAGTAGGAGTCCAGCCTCCATAAAACGTAGGTAAAATATGCATGTGACTGTAGATGTATGTCCAGTATGGAGTAAATAGTTAAAAAACAAACTATGAATTTACTGCATTTCATTCTTATTCTTCAACATAGTTTAGTAAGTGTTCTCTGTCCTTCCAACATGTTACTGTAGTAATGTGAAATATTTCCCTTTTCGGTTTCCATGCTGGATTATTCTAAGTAAGTATGAAGGATGGGCACTGCCTTGCACCCTGCATTTGTTCACCTGAAGTTGCCATATTTCTTCTGGGGTTTCTTGTCTCTGCAGCCTATTCCCTCCACCATCAGTTTGTACCTTGCAAGTCCATTGAATTTCTCCCTGCTCTTTAACATGTGATGCCATTTTGTATCGTTTGCTTATCAACCTTGTGCAACACATACATTCAGGCCATTGCTCTAAATTGTTTAACCAGCCTGTGAATTCTTGTGTATGGTTAGAAAAGCTGTGAAATGAATTGTGATCATTTTAGTATAGTATGATTTGAAACAAAATAATTGTAAAAGGCTGCCTATTTGGGAACCCTGAACTTGCAGGATTAGCGGCATCCAATGAAGGGCAGGATGAGTGCAGAGACAAGGATTGCTTCCATATTTTTTCCACCTCTGCATGTTCCTGACTTTGTTTGCAAGGCATCATACCCAGGCAGAGCTTTACTCCTCCCCTCCCTGTGCCCCTTGCCAGCTCTGAAGTCACACTCGGACCTTTGGAGTCCTGGCAGCTGCGAGGACAGTGGGAGGGTGCTCCAGATTCAGAAGCTGGGACTCTGACCTATCCCATGACTATTAAGACAGTGTCAGGCTCATGGGGAGAAACTAATTGGAGTTGTAAAGTTAAATTTTGCTCGCCTTTTCATTTTTTCAACCTCAAGCTTGTTTCATTGTGGATCATTTTACAATTTAAAAAAAGGTGGATTTTCTTACGCATTTCTCCTAATCTTTTGTACACCCTCTTCCTTATAGCAGCTCATTTTCTTAATATATTACTCTCACTAATATGCATTTGGCATAATTCCTTAATGTAATCATTTTTGTTTATTTGCAAAGTTGGAAGAAATGCAAAGATGTCAAAGTATAACTGCATTTCAGTTTTGTGTACTGTTCCAGAAGTGTGAAGTAAGATACTGACTGAATTTCTCTTCCATCCCTAGTTGTATAAACATGTAATTCAGCAAGCTGGCATGAGTGCTGGGCCTCTTTTGCCCCTTCCCTCCTCTGCCTTTGTTTCCACTTATGAGTCACTTGATAGCCATAGCTTTAGGGTGATGCACATAATAGAAACTAGTATACTAATAGAAATGCTAAAACAGATCAAAATAATTTTAATAAGTTTTAACAGGAGCAACAATAACTGAAAAAGGGATAACTATCTAAGCAACTAAAACATGCAAACATACATAGGTTTCTGTGTCCTGTCCTGTTTTAGCCAGACTCCTCCATTATCTCTGCAACAGGATCCTGGTTTAATGTCACTGTACTAACCAGGATCTTACTGAGAACAGAGCATGGAAATTTTATGTTTTACAATTTAATAAACTCTGGTTTAGTAAGCTGGAAACACTATATCTCAAAATGTTTGCACATAACATGAAACAATTTACCTCTCACTCTGTTGTCTCTTTTTAAAGCTCATCCTTTTTGGCCTGAGAAATCAGTTGGTGGTTTCGTTCAAAGAGGAAAATACTATGGCTTTCAAGCATCTGTTCCTGAAAAACTATTCTGGTGTTGATGAAGATGACTACAGTTGTAGTGTGTACACACAACAAGATGTTTATGATAGTATCTTTTTTACAATTAGTCAGGTATGTGCCTGCTCATGGTATCCACATGCTCACACAGCATGTGATAGAGTAACAGCAAACCTCACTAAAATATGAAAAGGTGTACCTGGTTTACTGGGCTGCTCCTTATTAAGAGAGCACCTAGCTTGTCTGTCTGTAGGCATACAATGGGATAATGATGCAGGTAGGGTGCCGCTCATTCCTTCATAATTTAATGTGACATCTGTCTTTCAGAAACAGTAAGCATCTTCAGTAATTTGTGTGTCTTACAATTTGGCTAGCTTTTAAAAGCCATGTTTGGCCAGCTATGCCAAGATAGCAGCAGCTCTTCAGCCATCCTGATTTCTCCCTCATCCTGGCATACTAGAACTAGGATCCAAACAGTCTTGCCTAGAAATAAACTTTTAAATTGGTGGGATTGGTTTCCAAGTAAGTATGTATTAGGCAGAAGAGGTCTTAGTTATTAAACCAGTACCTTTTCACTGTTTTGCCATTAATGGAAATTTAATTTTTTTAAAGCTAACTGGGCAGCATTTTACATTTTCAGTAGCTTACATTTTTGGATATCTTGTAATCTGAGTTGTGGCTACAAAAAAGATTATTTCTTCTTCTACTTTCACGTCCAAGTTCACAAGTGATACATTCCAAATGAAAAGGTGCTCATAATGTACTTTTGCCATTATGGAAATTGCTGTTCTTTTCTGAAGAGGTTTCTTTGTTTTGTGTGTTTGCTTTGCAATTAGTATCAACAACTGAAGAACATATCACTGGGCACACTAGGTTATGAGCAAGATGAAGATGACCTGCAAGGCTTGCAGATATGTAAAAAGCAATATAGAAAAGGCATGACGCTATCTTCAAATGATACACTGCATATAGACAGTGCTATTGAAACAGGTACTACTGAAATAGAAGTCTGTTGTAGCTCTCCATTTTATATTTATACCTTTAGCAAGAACACAGGGGCAGGCCAAAGTGCATCCGTAAGCCTGTACAGATAGCCATCTTGTCTCTGATTTGTGGGAAAGTCCTCCTTACCATTGTGACAGAACAATAAGAATCACATCCTTCACCTTTGGCTCTCTGTGTGAGTCCTGTTGTCTGTAGCAAATCTATGCAGCCGTTCTCAGGACTGGATTTCTGCTATAAGCACACCATAGTTGTGTTCAGATGATGGTAGTTTGACTTAACAAAGTGAAATATGCAGAAAACATGCATGCAGCCCCTTCTCTTTCTTTTTCCAGCATAGTTTAATGAAATGTAGATTTTGTAATTAGCTATTGTTTCCAGTTTTGTCAGAACCAGAAAACTATGGTTACCAGCTTTGGAACAAGCCAGGATCTTAAACCATAGTTTGAAAGTTCTTCTAAAGCTGGTAATTATTTCACGATTCAGACAAAATGGGAAGCCATATTTCTTCATGGTGCACAGTAACTGGAGGACAGGAAGTGCTGCTAATACTAGCAAACGTATAGCCATACTCGGGCTTATTTGGCTAAGATATAATTAGCAGAATGAGACCTGTAGCTTTTGAAATGGGCCTAGTGTGTGCAAGTAGGTTCTAGCATCCTACTTAACCAAAGGTATGGGGAAGAGGATTTTGGGGTGGGTGCACAAAAAAAAAATGCCTCTGAAGAATTTGCTTGTGAATCTGCAAAGCTCATTCTGTGTATTCATGGTATGTGTTCCTGATGCAGAAGTAGAAAGCTACTTGTGTACAGAACTGTATTAGCAGAGAATGAGGCTCTGTCTTGGATATGGGGTTGCAAAGCAATCTACCTTGTACAAATGGTGACATAATCCTGTGTATGCATTCTTTGAAATGTGCCCCATTAAGTTTTATTACAACCCTAGATTTTGGAAGTACATGTAGTACAACTGGAGATGAGCCGTTTGTATCTTTTTATTTTCCTACTGCTAGAATGCGTTCGCCTGGAGCCTCAGGAACTGGCTACTAAGGAAATAAGTGACTTGAAGAATACATCATTTTTCCTCTTTGAGTTTTATAGGTAAAGTGAGGATTTCGGAAACAGTTTGTATATTTCTAGAAAAGGGAATATATTGCAATGTCTTCTCTTTTTCCAGGCTCATACAGGTTGAAATCTCTTTTAAACTAAAAGGAATTGATCTACAAACCATTCATGCTCGTGAGCTGCCTGACTGTTATGAATTTGAGAATACTGTAAGTATGTTCTATATTCTTTACATATAAAATACAGCTCTTTTCTCTTGAGCAATTTCCTATGAAGGTTTATCTTGCTGTAGTCATAGTTCACATGTAGTGGCAAATCATGGCTTAATAAGCTTCTCATCTTTTAGTGATTTCTGACATCTAGGTGTGTGTGGGTGTGGGGAGACTGAGAGAGTGAGAAGGTCCAGGTTAACAGCTTGTACAAAGGAAAATGTTGTCCAGCATCTTTATTTAAAAACAAACCGAAAAACAAGAAACACAGTGTTTACACTCTTACATGCATGGATTTTAAAGGTATGCAACTTTTCCCCATGCTACCCACAAGAATTTTAAAAATGTGTATAAATTGCTTTATATGATCTAAAGCATCTGTCCAAGCAAATAGTTTGCTTTTTAATTATTTTATATTAACAGGTTACATTTGACCATAAAGCCCACAGTGGTAAAATGAAAATATTTTTTGATACGGATGCTGACATAGAAGAATGTAAAGACTGGAACATATCTGGCTCTAGTAAGTATTGTGCATATTTGTGTAAGCTCAAAGAGAATCTTGTGTGAGGGTGGTGCTGTTTTGGCTACACTTGTTATCACTACCAATACCCAAGCAAAAGAAACAGAGGCAACAAGTGGAATTTCCCACCTCCTAAAAAATGCAAGGTAGACTGTTCCTGCCTATCATGCCCTCCTCTATGGTACAGCATTCCATAACTCTTCCCACCTGCTTTTCCTCCCCAACACTCTGTAGTCATCACTAAGCCCACTTAGTGCTCACGCACCCGTTTTGCACTTTCCCCTCTTGTGGGATCCCTTCTAAAGCTATTTTGCATCCTTCTGCAAATCTTGCAGTTCTCCCAAGTCTATGGATACTTTGGTTGTGTGTGTGCACAAGCTGCGCAATTTCAGCTGCATGAGCACTATCCCCAAGTGAATAAGGGAAATGGAGGGAATGGTGACTTGCGTAACTGGAAACTGATTTTGGGGGAGAAATTTATTTTGGGCAAGATTTTAAGTGTCCGAGTTCTGCAGTGTCAGTCAAACTTAATCACATTGCCACACTCTACTTTTAGTGAATTTGGGATATAAGGAGGAGGGATCTCTAAGATAGATGTGGATTACAGATATATCTAAAACTTACTGTATATAAGTATCAGATGAATACGTTAAAAATCTTGTTGAAGCTTCTAATGTTGTTTTTGGCAGTACTTGAATTCTTCCACATGTTCTCTTTGCAAAATCACACATGTTCTCTGTTTTTCCTTATTTGTATTGAGTGCTCTGGTCTCTCTCTGTCAAAGACCTATTTTTTTAATGTTCTGAAGTAATACATTGATAATTGAGCAATGATTTAGTCTTTTCTTTCTCTCTTGTATCATGACTTACTTGTAGATGTCTATGCTAATTCAATATTTCTGATCTTTAATTTATATGTATCTCCTATAACAGTTCAGAAAAACACACCATATGCCTTGGTTTTTGATGGCTTTGTCATTGTGAACTGCTTTGCTTCCCTTATTCTCTGCACACGGTCCATTATTCTTGCTCTAAAACTGCAAAAAGTAAGTAAGTCTTGGCCTTTCTGATGGATGCATGTGATGTTTTATTTTTGCAAAACAGAAATGAGGATGAAGTCTATCAAGTGGGGATTTATGAACCTCCTTTCTGGACAACTCCAGGGCAGCAATCAAAATACAAGTAAACCATGGCTTAGGGGCAGTCTGCCTAAAGGAACAGTTTCTCCCATGCATTCCTGCCTGATTGCCAGGATAATCTTTAGAGGCTTATCTCTGTGTGTCACCACCCACAATCATGTGGTGGGTGATGACTAGGAAGCAGTCTTCCTTCTCTGTGGAATGTAATTCCCAAGGAGTTCCACCCAGCATCTTCACTGCATAACAGTGAGATGCTGGGTGAAGACCCCCTTTTCAGGCAGCCGCTTAGCCTTCACTGCCTCCTCAATGTTTTAGATATTTTTAATGTTCACTATTATATTATTTTGATACTTTTATTATTGTGCTGGTATTTTGCTGCTGTTTTACTTTACTCGGAGAGCATTGGCCAGGGTTGCAGTATAGAAATCTAATAAAATAAAAATCAACAACTTTTAAAAATATTTAAAGTGAACAATACATAAAAACATAATTCAGCACATGAGAGCATAGTTTGTATAATGCTTGAAGGTCTTGTTTATGGTGCATTTACCCTGGTAACAACCTTTTTGCCTACTGTAATACATCCTATAGATGCTGCCCTTCAATTATTCAGAAAGTTCAACTAGTTCAAAATCCAGAGGACACACTGTCCACATGTGTGATCACAAGAAATGTGTAATGTCTATTCTTCATGGGCTTCCCTTTTGGTCCTAAGCCAGATTCATGGTCCTGGTACTTGTCTTGCAAAATTGTTTAAAGCTCAACTGTTGTTTACCTGCCATAGTGGCAAGTACAAAACCTAGTAATTTGTTGTAATCCTCTGGTGTTCAAGAAAGTGTTGACCATATAAAGCATTACAGCAGAAATCACCCTTTGCATAGCTCGGATGTTATGGACTGCATTCAGCAGGCCCAATGGCCAGTGGCACTCTAAATCATGCAGAGAGGAAGGCTGGCCTGCACACACAAGCACTGTGTCAGTGATGGCCCCTTGGTGCACTCTGATAATGTGAAATAAACTAGTGTACTAGTATTATTCTAATGCAGTGGATCCTTCCTAACAATTCTCCTCTTCTTTTTCATACTTAAAACAGAGGTTTGTGAACTTCTTCTTAGAGAAATATAAACGCCATGTGTGCAGTGCAGACCGCCTGGAGTTCATTAATTGGTGGTATGTCCTGGTGATTATAAGTGATATGATGACTATCATCGGATCTATAATGAAAATGGAAATAAAAGCTAAGGTGAGCCTTAGAGGCACAATTATTTTGGTCTGTTTGGTCTGGGGTTGTGGCTGTGAGGTGCAGTCCTACACATGTTTAGGCAGAAAAAAGTGCTACAACTCCCAGCATTCCCCAGCCAGCATTGCATGCAAAGAACTGGTCCCAGAGCCTCTCTAGAGATCTAAGGAATCAAAGTGCACCCAAACTAATTTCAGTTGCTTAACATTTTCTTATCTCTTTCAGAATCTTACAAACTATGATGTTTGCAGTATTTTTCTTGGTACATCTACTTTACTTGTCTGGGTTGGAGTCATTCGGTACTTAGGCTATTTTCAGACATACAATGTAAGCTCTGGGGTAAAGTATTGCATAGTGTAATATATTTTCATTTCACGTGCCTGTTCAGTTATGCCTCCTCTCCTCCATTCATAGGTGCTTATTTTAACAATGCAAGCATCATTGCCCAGAGTTCTAAGGTTCTGTTGCTGTGCTGGAATGATATATCTTGGCTATACTTTCTGTGGCTGGATTGTTCTAGGGCCATATCATGAAAAGGTATGCAGGTATTTGTATACTTTTAACATAGTTTGCTATGCAACTAGAATATAATATAGAAGGATATAATGTATAAACAGAGTGGCTGTAAACTCTGTCCACGCTCTGTTCTCAAAATGTCTGTTCTTGTGTGCACATGCTTAATTTTCTATTCTGGAACCAACAGATACATCTAGAGAAAAAAACTTGCCATGCTTGGTTTTGTTTAGCAACCCTCTTTGCAAAACCAAAGTGGTTTGAAGTTGGTTCATGTCTGTGTGGAAAATTGACACATTTTTTGCTACGGTCTATCTTTTAGTTTCTCACAAGAGGGCAGCATTGTACCATGCTAGCAAACACAGTCTGCGTGCCAAATGAAATGCTTCAGCTCTTCATAGCCAGCTCTCAAGCTTGAGGCAGCTTTTCCATCTTTGTTCAAAACGCCTCCAATAGTCTAAGCTTGACCTTCTTGGTTTATCGTAGTTCTATTTAAGATTGCACATATGCCCCAGCAGTTAGTTATTAATTTAATAATAAAAATCACATTCAGTTTTTAAGGGCCAAAAAGGAAAATATGAGCCCAATTGTTTTGTTTGGAGGCTTAGATTTAAAAATGGTGGTGAACAAAAAGGGGTAGCAATCAAAGTGGAAAGTGGGGACAAAAGGGATTCTGCCAGGGAGAACATTGGTCAATAAGCTGGGCCTGCCTGGTGCCTGAGGGAAATACAGCAGAGCAACCCCAGCTAAGCCTGATCTTCTGCTGGGTATACTGTCCGTTGTTCAGTGAACAATGAACCCACGGTGCAAACACACCCAGATGGTCCTGCAAAACTCTTGTGTTCCCTCCCACGGTTTTTGTATGGCTGTTTCTGATGCTGAATGGTTGTATTATTCTTGTGCTCTACTTATCCACAGAATGCAGTAGGATGGCAAATGCGGGCCTATAACACTTTGGGAGTCAAATAGGGCTATAAACCCCCTGGTGTTGTGGATGATATTGTTATATCTTGTAACAATATTGCCTTACTAGACATGGTAACAAAATGGCATCTGGGAGAAGCTTTCAGCTACGCAGGACACTGTCATAGACCGTAAAGTGGCCATTCTTGAACAAAGAAAGTTCAAAGACAACTTGTAGCCCAGGCAACTGAACTACAATTCATTTGCTTACCAAGACAAGGTTATCTTTGTTATCAACAAGCAATTGTATAGCCACTCTCTGACCGCTGTTGACAATTCCAGTCCCAAACCACACGTGTGCACGCGCGCGCACACACACACATACTTGCTGCTCTACGTAACACCTTCTGCGTCTGCTGAAATGGACTAACTTATGCTGTGACTCTGAGGTCCTGCAAGACTTGTAGTCTGCTGCAGAAGACACAACAATCACAAATATCCTTCTGGAAACAGTAAATTATATGACTAAACTAAGAATAGTGTCAGTGAAGGCTTGATTCTTAGTTGGGTCCTGCATGTCATCTAAAATACAGTATTCAGATCTTTTAGAAGCCAGTGGTACTCTGGCGTGGAAAAATGGCTGCTTGCGACACAATTTTCATTTAACTTGTAAAGGAAAAAAAAGTTTATCATATTGACAACAATGGTGGTTCTGCTAATTGTTGTTTTAATTGTTTTTTTTAAATATTGTAAGCCATCCTGAGATCTTGTATAATAGGACGGCATACAAAAGCTTTTAATAAAATAAATAAATAAAATGATGAACGGACATGTATTTTGTTGTGCTTGGTCAAAGGTGAGTATGAAAAGCAGAGGCTTTTTGTCAAGGCTGACTTATTTTCTATTATCATGACATTTCTTCACCACCCATCAGCTCAACTCAGATGCTTCCTGGGCAGTTTACAGTTTGAAAATACCATATAGAACACTTATAATAAAATGGCTGTAGCCCTTTGCAGCTATTAGGGCTTTTGTGCACAAGGCTGTAAATATGCTGTTATCTAGTGTTGGTTTTGTTGCTGAATTGAGACCCAAGCTCTGTACAAGGATGCATTTCCTTTCCTGCTTTTTTGTTACATAACTTCTGTGTGGCGCAGTGATTTAGGAAAATAGCAAAAACAATGAAAAAACATAGTTCCCTGGTTTGAATAATAATGATAATGATAATAATAAACCCTGAAAGTGCTGTTTAGCCATAGAAGTGAAACTAAAAGGTAGCAGTGTTTCCTAAAGAACCCATCAGCAACCATAAGCAGGGAATGACCAGCGCATGATAAATGCCTCATGTACAGAAATCCACAGTCCCCTTTCTCAACATCACCACAAATCTCATCTGCAAAGTTAACATACAACCATTTTTTCCTTTACGTTCAGACATGCTTTTGACATTCAATCTTATAGGGCTCGGTCTGAGTCTGAAACAGTATACTTCTGTTTTTTATTAATTTGAGTCTGAAACACTCTGTTTGTATTAATTTGTGGGATTTTATTGTTCCAGCATAAGACATCTAGAATTTTTATAAATGGCTGGGATGATATGGCCTTTGATCCTTTCGTGCGCCATGGTAATAGCGTCTGATGTCAGCTGTATTCCGTGCTTTCTAGTTTGAAGATCTGAACACGGTAGCAGAGTGCCTGTTTTCTTTGGTCAATGGCGATGACATGTTTGCTACATTTGCTCAAATACGGAAGAAGAGTACTTTAGTGTGGCTCTTCAGTCGACTATACCTGTATTCCTTCATTAGCCTCTTCATATATATGATCCTCAGCCTTTTCATTGCACTGATTACAGATGCCTATGACACCATAAAGGTAAACTCATGTTGTGAGTGGTTGTTTTCCTCTAAAATGCCAAGCTATTCTTAAACCCTAATGAGATCTTTGATTTTACTGGAATTTACTTCTAGAATGATTTCAAATGTTCTCAGGCATACTAGGGGTATTGGGGGGAAAATTGATAGGAGAGGTTTTAAAAATGTGCTTCTGTGGAATATATTTGGTTCCATTAGCTAGGACTCTGCTAGCTTAGGATTGTCTCCTTGGTGCCTATGCTTCCAATATCTTTATGCAACCAGTTGAAGATGTAGTTTTGATGTCAGTTTAAAAAATAGAAATAAAGTGTACCAAGAGGACATTTCAATTTTTCCCCCTTGGCAGTGTTCATGCACCTTTTATTAGCTGCTAAACAGGTGATGCATTTTCAGGTTGCATTTTCAGGTTTCAACACCTTCCGGGTTGAGGTCTGAATTTCATTTTGTGGAAACTCTCAAGGGCCACAGGCCAGAGGTGGGTGAGGCTTACAGCAAAGGAGATCAGGAGCAAAACTTCTAGGTTAAATCTTTTAATGCCAGTAGTAACTAAGCTGTAGAACTTTCTAGAGGTAGGAAACCACCACATAATTAGTGGTTGGGGGAAAGGGGGCCTGGATTTCTGTGAGAGGATACATTAGGTCCTTGGGTGAGGTTCTGCATCCCTGCAGTAAAACATGGTACTACTTGTATGCTGGAGGGGGAAAAGTGATGGCAATCCTGTGAATAAAACAGATCACACAGCACTGGGAAAACATCTAAAAGTGGGAGATGCTGCTTCCTGCCTCTCCATGTTGCTTTTATTACAGCTATTGGAAAGCCATGTATATAATTGGCGTAGCCTAGCAGTACAGCTCTTTGAAAGAACAAACAGAATTGGACCAGAAAGATCAATGTCAAGCAGGGATAAGGATTTTGCAGTTTACATCAATGTACCATTGAAGTTATTCTATCTGAATAGAGGAGGAGGAGAGGAGAGGAGCTTTTAACTCTTCACGAGCACTTTAGTGAGAAATTTATTTCCAACCTTTCATTAATGCATTTTAGACTTGCTGGCTTTGCCAAAACAATGACTTGATCCATCTTCCCCTTGCCCCACCCCCTTACAATACAGTGCTGTTAGGAGAGCGGTAGAAAATGGGGAAAAGCTTGAGTAGAACAGCTTCCTAAACAAATAATTTTCTATACCCGTTTCAGAAATATCAGCAGATTGGATTCCCAGTTACAGATCTTCATGAATTTCTGAAGGAGTGCAGCGGCGAGCACACACAACCACAGACATCAATCAACTTCTGTTGCTGTAGGAGGTGCGTCTGCTCTTTCCGATTCTGTCAGTTCTTTGCGTCTGCATACCCTTGAAGTTGGCTTTTAATGGGCCGAGGGATGGGGCCCAACCAGAAATGTGGAAGATTTGTTGAGTATGCACTCTCTTACTCTTTGCTGTTGTACTTTATTACTACTGGGAGAAGAGAAAGAAAGCTCATTTATTAAAAAAAATTATTAAGGAATTGTGCTAGTGAGGGCAATTAACCTAAATATTTTTTAACTATGGAGTGAATTATCTTCTCTGGTAAAACCTTGAGATTATTTTTAAATTAACAGCTGTGTTGACAGACAGGATAAGCCAAAAATGATGGTGATCTCTAGTTTCCTGTCTTAATTATACTCTGGGGATGTGATCACAGGACGAAAGTGCTTCAAGTCCTGTATCCTACACAGTTCTAACATTTAAAGTGATTGGCCATGTGGCAAGGTGCACCATAAAGAGATGGCATCTCCCAGACAGAGCCCCATTGTCTCACGCATAAACCAAAATGACTTGGAGGTTTCAGAATTCAAGGTCCCTGCATCCGCTCGTGGCAGTGAAGCCTCAATCAGTGGCTGAGCTTGTGTGAACAGTCCAACTCACATGCTTCAAACTGTTTGCCCACATTCTGGATGAGTTAGAAACATAGAAACAGAGCGAGTCAGAAGGGGCCTCCTGGGCCATCTAGTCTGACCTCCGGCACCAGCCGGCTCCACTTATGACATGCCCACCATGTGCATGTCCAGCCTATCTTTGGGGGCCTCAACAACCTCCCGTGGAAGCCCATTCCACACCCTCGGGGTCCTAACTGAGCGGAAGTGCTTCCTGGCATCCGAATTCAACCTTGGCTCCCTGAGCTTTGCTCCGTTGGAGCGCGTCCTGCCCTCCTCTGCAGGGGAGAACAGGCCTCTACCCACCTCCAGTTGCTGGCCCTCATGTTGCCGTTCAGTCAGTGTATAGAAGGGAGTAGGATCACCAAGCTGGGGCTGACCTCTGTGCCTTGAGTCAAACGTAAGAATTAGCTGTTTGCACACAGGACCCTGAACACACATGCAGCCCATTCCTGCACTGGGGAGCATGGTCAGGGACGCAGTCCTGCTCCCCTCTGTGCATTGACTGAATCGAAGGACTGGGGGGTGAGAAGAGGGCAGAAGAGGGCTGACACTGTACATGCACTGCTTGCCTAGGACGAAAATCCAGGGTGCATGAACGCATTTGCCAGTGTTGGTAGCACCTGATGCTAATTTTGGCTGGAAAAGGTATGACACCTGGGTGTGGGGGGAGACAGGGTATAGTTCTTCATAAGGAGAACATCAGCAACTCTAGCAGCCCTTGGTGAATTCTGGAACATGTTCTGACACCTCTTGCCATTCCCCTGGATTGTCTTTTTGCGGCTCAGGGCAATAGTCATTAGATGTAAGGATCAGCAAGCAACACCAAAACAGATTTTTTATTTATTTATTTATTTATTTATTAAAACATTTCTATGCCGCCCCTTGCCGAAGCCTCAGGGCGGCTCACAACATAATAAAATACACAATAAATTGAAACAATAACAATTAAAATATATACATTGGAAGAAAATAAGCCGCCCTGGCCAAATGAAATTCAATGATATTAACATTTAAAATGCTGCTTAAATAAAAGGTCTTCGCCTGGCGCCGAAAAACAAATAACGACGGCGCCAGGCGGACCTCTCTGGGGAGCGCATTCCATAACTTAGGCGCCACCGCTGAGAAAGCCCTCCTCCGAGTAACCACCCTCCTAATTTCCTTCACTGAGGGCTCCTGGAGGAGGGCCTCTCCTGCTGATCTCAGGGGACGGCTGGGCATATATGGATGTAAGCGCTCCTTCAGGTAACCAGGACCCAAGCCGTTTAGGGCTTTATAGATGTATAAGCATGTGATGGGGGTGGCAGTGGGCTGAGAGTAAAGCAAAACCTGTAAATGCCAGATTATATGCTGCTTATTATTGTGAAGTTTGGATGTTAAAAGCCAGGTGCTACAGCATTTTATTTATTTATTTACAGTAATTTTACCCCATCCTTAATGAACGTCTCAGGACGGCTTACAACATAGTTAAGCATAACAATAAATAAACACAACAAATACAGCAAGCATAACAGAATAAAATGAAGTGAAATGTGACTAAGCATGAGGATTAAAAACTTTTTGATTTTTCCCCAATTTCCTCATACTCTCCAAAATAATTATATTGTATTCCTAATGAAAATTGTCTATCAAGCCAAACCGAAGGTCTTAAATATTTGGGGACCAAGTTACCTGGCAGATTGCATTCTTTAGTATAGACTTGTGTGACTGCAAATATAATTGAAGTTGTTCTGTGACCTTGGAATATCATCTTCCTTCCCCACTGGTATTTGGGAGGTGCCAGGTATTTTAGAAGCCTGCTAAAGACCCATCTTTTTACCTGGGCCTTTCCTGAATGATCATGTTGCCAAGTTCATCATTTACTAGTTATTGTGCATTTAGCTTTGGTGTGAAATATTTTAAAAACTTAACCTGGATATTTCTATTATGATTTGATTGGCTAAACTGCTTGGATATATTTGCAGACATAGTAAGTGGCATATCAGTTGATTAAATAAAGGATGCACATCTTTGCCTTTCTGCAGGCGTAACAGTGATGACAGCTTGATACTTATTAACTGAAGATGGATGGTGCTGGCCTAGATTACTGCAGAAAACCTGCCTGGGAAAGCTGACCCTCTGGAATTGCAGTGAAGCACAGCACATGTGTGCATCTTCTCTTCAAACCAAAGACTTTATGTCAGGAAAAGAGAAGCAATGGCATCTCCCTGCCATCCACATTGGGAAATTCAAAAACTATCAATTAAGCTGGTATATGAACAGCACATAAGCATGTTGCAACAGCTGATCCTAATAGGCACTTTTGACAAAATCCTGGGCCTTAGGTCAATCCTCAGTTGTAACCTGCTTTCTAAATATTTTAATATTAAAATATTTAAATTAAACCCATTTCTTAAACACAAAATACTGCAGTTATTGGTAACTGTAAGTTTTTTGTTTTGCTCTTTTTAAGATTGTCTTTGGATTGAAGCTTAATGGGCTTCCTTTTACACATGCCTTTGTTAAATGTATGCAAAACTCAATTGCTTGGTTTATTTCTCCCTGTGTTCTGGTTTTGGGTTCATGAGGTTGATATAAAGCTGTCTAGACATTTAAGGTTCACTTGGCTGTATATGCACTTTTCCTAAAAACAAACTTTTCAATCGGTATGGGGTATTTTGTTTTTGTGGCCTGGACAAAGTTTTTCTCCCATTATCCCCTTAAATCTAATTAAGGCTAGTCTTAGGTACTCCTGAATTCAATGAGACTTATTCCTAATGGGTTTCACTTGTCAGCGAACATACGTAGCTTTGGCAAACACTTCCATAGCAGTTATGGGACAATCTCAAAATGTCCCATGATTTCTTAGAAAGAACACAGCTTCTAACTTGCATTATGGAAATTTGATAGGAAACTGTAATTTTAAAAGCTCAACCACCCATTACGGGTTCTGAAATAAGGACAGCCATTTCCCAAAAATGAATAAATACAAATACAAATTGGGAAATGGTTCAGTTTATACCCAATTTGAACCTGTCCACTAACCCATATTCAAATTTGGCAAGGAAATTAAACTTTCCAGGATATAGAAAGCATTGCTGTATCTCTCCAATGGCTTCCATAGCAGGGAAAATGTGGAAACCACTAGTGTGCACAGCCGCCCAGGTTCCTTGGGGCCAGAGGGTGCTGGGGATTGGCGCTGTTTCTTCAGGGTTGCAGCCTCTTTACCTACGTAACTTTTCATCTCGCTTGCAGCTGCCACTCAGAAGTTTTCAAGGGAATGGTAAGTGTTTGGTGATGGGGAGCATTGTTGGTAGAAGGAATTCTGGGAACTGAGAAGCCTGGAATTCTTCTTTGGCTGGGATTTTAAGCAAGCACTTTAGTGTTTTGTTTTGTTTTTTTAATTATGAACCACCTCCTCCTCTTCTAAAACCTGTATGGGAACCCAACCTCAGTGACCTGTAGTGTAATATACCTGAAACAGAAACAACAGTAAAACAAGGCAGGGTATGTTATTTCATACTAAATGAAGAGATATCCTGTATTGATGTGATACAGTTTGATTATTTGCCCTAGTTTCTTATGCTATATCAGGCAAAAAGAAGTATTTTAGAACCCTTTGCAAGCTGAGTGACAAAATACTTTTGAAATTCAGACCTTCAGAAACAGTTAAGTATGGCACACGGGTCAGCTACTTAAGTTAGATTCCACTGGAGTAACAAAAGTCTTTGCATGGATCTTAAACAGCTCTTCAAAGTCCAGCAACAACATTTTATTAGTATCACTATAACTTGGGGAAATGCCACTGAAATCTCATTTATTCCATCTGTACAGCAAAATCTCACTTATTTAACTAATGCACCTCCAAAATGGCAAGGATAGGAAATCTGTGATCTCCAGTGTATCAGTGGATTGGATCTCCCATCAGTCCTTGTCATTGCATATCCAAGAATTTCTGGAGTGATAATGCATTCCACATCTTTGTGCTATTCACATGACAGATTTTCTTATGATTTTCTTACAGTTTTAAAAATATATGTTTTAAAAATATTTAGAATACCTAATTATAAATGAAATACCCATGATATAGCCAAGGTCCTCCCCTGAGCGATCAAATTGTATGTATGTATGTATGTATGTATTTATTTATTTATTTGGGTTTATAATATTTATATTCCATCTCTTTTCTTTGAAGGAACTCAAGGCAGCTTACATGATCCTCTTCCTCCCCAGCTTTATTCTTGCAACTAGCCTGTGAGGTAGGTTAGGCTATTGAAGCAAAAATGGAGAACTGTTGTACTGACAAAGATTCTTCTATAATAATAGAATCTTTGCGAAGATGCTGAGGCATGTGGTGACAGCATATAAAAGTTTTGAATGAATGAATGCATGCATGCATGCATGCATGCATTGATCCAGAAGAAGAAATGAGGCTAGTTTTGTGGAAAGATTAGCATTAGAATTACCAGGGTGGCAAGAGGTGTGTAGAGGGCCAGGGAAGCCCCTCCTTAACTTAGCTACTGTTTTTAAAAGACTGGAACATGCCCTGGCTCAAATTTAGGGGAAGTTGGTTGGGCTCATGGAATTCATTAAGGACCCTTTTCCCAATAAACTTGAATTGTTCTTAGTCTTGACTTTCCCTGTTCTGTTTTTGTTTTAGAAAGTCTCTCATCCTTGTTTGTGTCAGATACTTTAGAAATGCCAATTGTCTATGGGAAGTAGGGTACATCTAATCACATACTGCTTTCCTGGAACCCAAATGCTGCTACCGCAAGTACAAAGGTGAACACTGGGGAGAAAGAGAGGCAAGACAACTTAGATACAAAGGACTCAAGCAGTTCTACCTGCCATATTCTAATTTGTGTTAACATTAAATGTGTAAACATTGAAAGAGTATAAAATGCTGCTTCTAATGTAGACAAAAATTACTGTGAATTCTGGCATGGAATTTGTTTTCTATAACTTGAGACCACCAGGGAGAACTGTGTTGTGATGCTATGAATCATCTTCAAAGGCTAAGCAAATGGAAGTAGTCAATTTTCAATGACATGCTAGAAAAGCACAAGCACTCCATCACAGCATTAGCCTCAAGTGTAACATAAGATGCACTGAATAATCTTGCAAAATGCAGAGCTGGAGAGCCACTCTGCAAGCCAGCTTCAGCAGTGCTATGGACAATTGGCTGGAAAATTCTGGTTGCATCGGACCTGCATAGATGAGAAACAAATGCACAAAAAACTAAACCATTTCCTGTCTTTGAAACTCAAAAATTTGAATGTAGCAAAACTGACTGTTTTTTTCATTTAAGTAAATTATACAGCAGTTTTGTATCTGGATGTGCCTCTGAATCTAATTAGCTGCATATTCTCTTTGGAAATGCTGTGCTTTTTCAGTATCATGCAATTGTATGATACTTCAAAGTTTCTGCACTTTTATATTTATATATTTTATATATTTTTTACTGATGGCATTAAAAAGTTGGTACAACACTGGGAAAAATGCATCACAAAAGGTGACTGTGGAAAAGTGATGTAATTTGTTTTTGAAATTCTTAATAAAATTTTTAAAAGTGCAGAAACTTTTTGAAGAACTGTTGTAGCTTTCAGCCTTCTTCAAAAATGCAAGTTCTTTGATTTAAATCTGATTGTTGGTTGCTGGCTTAGTCTAGGATGCATAACATCAGCCTGAAGGATGGGCACGAGGAGAGGGCCTGTCTCCTACTTGAAAGCACATGTTTATTGCAGGGTCCCCAAGAGAAGGCTTCCCAGCTGTGCAGAAAAGAGAAACGGACAAAATGGTATTCAGGTTGTACGATTGTATGCTTCTTTACTTGCATTTAGGATTTGTAGTTTTAAGGAAAATAGTGGCAATCTCTTCTACTTGTGAATATGTTGTGAAATTGTTAAGTTCGTGGTTCTTAAGTAAACTTTGCATTTTGAGCTCAAAATGTTGCCCAACAACAGCATGTCTGTTTATGCACAGAATGACTGAGTTGTCCCATTTCATCTCTGGATGTTTGCAGACACCTGGAACAGCCTAACTGTGCCTTCCCCAATCTTCTAGATGTGTTGGACTACAACTTCCAGTAGCC